GCCTGACACTGTGCTCCCCGCAGGGCGTCATCCGCGTGCCCGCGCCCTGCCAGTACGCGCACAAGCTGGCCTTCCTGGTCGGCCAGAGCATCCACCGCGAGCCCAACCTGTCGCTGTCCAACCGCCTGTACTACCTCTAGCCGAGCGGCCTCCCAGCGCCTGCGAGGGCTCCGCCTCACCCGTCAGCCTCTCGTCCTGGTGGGACTTGGGAGGGGCCGGGGCGTCCAGGGTCTTTATTCCGACATCACTACCAACCGAGATACTTTATAGGAAAAAATTAGTGTTTTTAGTTCTCACGCAAGGACGCGTTTTTATTGATTTTTTTTCTAGTGAGAAGGGGGCGGGAGAGAGAGAGAGAGAGACATCAGTTGGTTGCCTCCTGCACACGCCCCTACCAGGGATCGAACCCGCAACTTTTTGGTGCACAGGACAAGGGGACAAGGCTCTGCCAACTGAGCCACCAGCGGGGCTGAGATTCTAGATGTAAGTTTGCCTCTCAGATGCATTGGGAGGGTTTCTGTTTGTTTTGAGAGAAATGTGGTTCCAGTACTTTGTGTTATAAACAGACTCTTAAACCATCAGGAAGTGCTTTCATGAGTGAGGAAGCCGTACTTGACCTTGGGTGGACCTTGTATCTGAAATGTTGGGAAGGGACGGGGGGGAGGCGTGAGGCGGGCAGCCCGGTCGGGTGGCAGGCAGGCTGGCTGGTGCCTCTTCTCTCCTGATGGCAGTGCCAGCAGCAGCCCCAGCCAGGCCAGGCAGGGGAGGTTGCTTTCCCACGGGGGCTGTGTGCTGTGGGTTCAAAAAAGAGAGGGGAGCCCTGGACAGTGTGGCTCAGTGGATAGAGCGTCGGCCTGCAGACTGAAGGATCCCGGTTCAATTCCCAGTCAGGGCACAGGCCTGGGTTGTGGGCTCGATCCCCAGTGTGGGGCGTGCAGGAGGCAGCCGGTCCATGATTCTCTCTCATCACTGATGCTTTTTTTTCCTCCCTTCCTCCTTCCCTCCCTCTCCCTTCCTCTCTGAAATCAATAAACATACAAAACAAAACAAAAATTTAAAAACTTTTTAAAAGTTACAAAAAAAGATAGTTGAGACGTTTTCAGTTTCTGTCCAGAGAAGCATGTGCGGGTCCTTCGCAGGAGAGGCCGCAGCCCATGTCCGTGCCGTGTTACTTTGCAGCCGGCGTCGTTCTGTCTGTTACAAATTAAAGTGCCGTCGCCTGGTCTGCGGGTCAGTGTCGTCTGTTCTTACTGAGGCCACAGCACAGCTTTTCAAACTGCTGGAGGGTCCTCTCGGGGCCCCACGCGGAGGCCACGCGTTTGGTTTAAGTCGACTTGACTGAGGGATGATTCACGTGAGGGGTGATGCGAGGCGTGTGGACACACCACGCTCCCGTCTCACACTAGGAAGACGCGGGTCCCGTTAACAGCCCCCGGGCAAGGCAGTCGTTTCCAGGACACAGTCGTGCACACATCATTAAATTATCCGAGTCATCTGTTTTTGATGGTAAATCACACATTTTTATTTTTTTAAAAAATAGATTTCGGAGAGAAAGGGAGAGGGGAGAGAGAATCATTGATCGGCTTCCTGCACACCCCCTACCGGGGATCGAGCCCGCAACTGGGGCATGTGCCCTTGACCAGAATCGAACCCGGGACCCTTTGGTCCTCAGGCCGACGCGCTCTCCACTGAGCAACACTGGCCAGGGCCCCACACACTTTTATTGGGTCACGTAGGCACTTCGCCTGCTGGCTGGTCGGAGACGCGGATGTTGTCTCCCGCGTTCGCCGAGTGGTTCCCCAGCGTGTGGGCCTGAGCGTGGCCTGTGCGTGGGACATGTCGGAGCTCTTTTGGGAAACAAATTCCAGGGAGGGAGGGGAGTGCGCCCCGTGCACACAGTCCCGCCCCAAAGCACACAGGAGGCGGGAGGCAGGCATCGTGGAAAATGACAGTTTATTCTAGAAAAGACCCGACACTGACCGCACACGCACACCCACACGCCGCTCCCGACTGCTCGCACGCGCAGGCCGTGACCACAGAACATGCTCACACCCTCCCACAGGTTACAAAAGAAAGGCGGTCTGCACGCATGTATAAAGAGTAAAAACAGAAGTGGACGGGGGTACAAAAGAGCAGCCAGCGGAGGCACCGCCGGCAACGGGCCAGTCTGTGCTCAATGCCAAGGGAGGCCTGTGTGGGTCACGTGGAGCACTGACGTGGGGCTGGGCCGTGGCCTGTGCGCGCCGTGGCCTGTGCGTGGCCGTGGCCGCGTGTGTGCTGCTGTCTGTCTGGCACGAGAGGGACAGACCCACCGAGTGACACTGAGGGTGCCGGGCCTGCTGAGGTGTGCGTGAGAACACGTGTGGTGTGGTGTGGCCTGGGCGTGGCTGCAAGCCTGCCCGTGTGGGGAGAGCACGAGGCACACACACAGGAGCACAGCGAGTTTATTGGACGGTACAAACCATTGTGCAGAGTAAGGCAGAACATGGAGGCGCTCGGGGCTCGGACCAGAGTGAAGGGGGGGTGAGCGTGGGGGGCGGGGACAAGTGCACAGAGACCGTCCGGAGGGCGGGCAGCGGGGCCTCCCGTCAGACCAGGGGCCGCGACGGAGCCTGAGGCCCAGGAGGCCGGCGCTGTCCCCCCAGGTGCTCGGGGGGGACGTGGGGGGCAGAGCGGTCCCTGCTGTGTGTGGGGGGTTAGGGCGAGCGCAGGCCACGGGAGCCCCGGCTGGGAATGAAACCGTGTCGGAGGTGGTCCCGGGTCACTTGACGGCGCCCAGCTTCTGCAGCAGCCTCTTGCCTTTGAAAAGCAGCCCCTTTTTCTTCCTCGAGGACACGCCCCTGCCTCTCCCGGGACCACCTGTACCCACAGACGGCGCAGGAGACCCCGCGTGGAGACGGGCTGTGGGGGATGGCGCTCTCCTGGCCGGGCCTGCCCCCTCAGGAGGCACCTGGGAGGTACAGTGTGACAGTTTACTGAGCGCATCAGCGCCAGCCCCCCAGCCCGGCCACACGCAGCCCGGCCCGCCCACGAAGGAAGGAGGGACAGTGGGCGTTTTCTTCTTTCAAGTGGGGGCGCCAGGAGCAGCCCGCCCAGCGCCTCGGGGACACGGGCGGGGTGCCCCTCACGCGGGCAGGACGGGGCTGGGGATCACTTCCTGGTACATTAAGACCCGATCGAGGGGTGGGGGCTTTAAGTTACGTCGACGTAACCCTGGCGAGTGCCCATCTCAAAGCGGATGCACTCAACGCGAGTCTTGTCTTTGAAAGCGACGGCCCGGTCGGCCGAGCGCCCGGGTTAGGAAGGTTGGGGATGGCACACCGGTTGAAAGATAAACAAAACTAAAATGAACCTTAATTGCAATCAAAGAAAGCTGCCAGGCCTCCGTGGGCAAGGCCTCCGTGGGCGCTGCGCGGCCTGCACGGCACTGGGGTCTCGGTGGGATCTTGTCCGTCGTGAGCACACGGTCAAGTGCTGAGCTCACGGGCACCGTGGCCCCGCCTGACGGGACCTGGGCCATCCCCCAATCCTGACCTCTGACCTCTGACCTCCGGGGAGCGTGCAGGATTCAGCAGCCACGGCCAGCCACGGGGCTTCAGCTTGCTTGGATTTAGAATCAAGGTCTAACTCTAATGGAAACCTCGGCAAGCACCCGGGGTCACTGAAGATACCGTGGCCGCTCCGGGCCGTCCATCTCGGAGCCGCGTGTCTCGGAGCGGGTATTGCATTGGCAGCCCCCGGGCGCCTCTCCCCGGCGTGGGTGCTACGAGGAGAAGCCCGGCCGCACCAGGTGGAGGTGGGGACTGGAGGAGACGACGTGCGGGCAGTGGGACGCGACTCCAGGCCGGCCTGCCCACTGCCCAGCTGCCTGAGCTCCGGCCGCACTTTTACAAGGAAATCTGCCGGGCCCTGGCCCGTGTGGCTCCGTGGATTGAGCATCAGCCTGGGGACTGGAGTCCGGGGTTCGATTCCCAGGCAGGGCACGTGCCTGGGTTGTGGGCTCGATCCCCAGTAGGGGGCGTGCAGGAGGCAGCCAGCCATGATTCTCATCATTGATGTTTCTCTCCCTTTCCCCTTCCTCTCTGAAGTCAATAAAAATATATATATATTTAAAATTTACGTAAGGAACCTGCCGTAAACACGTTGGCGAGGTTGTGCTTTTCTGAGGGGCTGACAATGCAACACGCAGCCGCGGGGAGACACGGGCTCGCGGGAAACATGCCCCCTGCCGGCCTCCGCGGGAACCGCCACGCCTTCGGCTGCTTTACAACCGAGGCCAGTGGTCGTCAGGGGACATATTTCTTTCTCGGCCCCGTGACCCTGGCGTCCACCGCGGAGCCCGCTGGGCAGCTCGGGGCATCCTGGTATCTTCAGCTGCTCACTTACGTGAAGGCTACTTTGCCTGATTAAGGTGTGAAATGAACACTCTTCTTCTGTTCCCAAGCAGATGAGCGAAGGAATAAGAATATATGATATAAAAACAGAACGAGAACCCGCAGCGATGACGCAAAACAAAATGAGGCGACACGTGAATGTCCTCCGTCCCTCGGGCGTCTGCTCTCTGGGGAGGACCGCGGCCCTGAGCCTCAGGCCGGGACAGCCCCTCGCCCTTGCCCTCGCCCTCTCCACGGCCGGGTGTGCGTCTGTCCCCCGGGGGGTCCCCTGGTGAGCAGAGGCCGCCGGTCGGGATGGAAAACGTCCCTTTTGGTGAAATATACG